AGGGAGGGAAGAAAAAGGGGGGAAGTAGAGAAGGAAAGTAAGCCACAGCTGACACTGGTTACCTGGAAATGAAGTGTTGGCGCCATAAACTAGTTGGGACACTTAAATACTAATTTTTAGAAATTGCTAGAGTCTCAGGGTACACTAGCCTCAGAGTGAGAAAATGCCATCATTTTCAAACATATCAGAGTGCTCTACATAACAAAGGCTACATGCCAAGGAAAAATACTTTGCCAGAGCCGCATCCCACACGGGGCAACAACATCTCTCTCCAGCCTCTTCCAGTCTTTCTCATCTGAACAGGGGGAAAGGTACCAGAGACTTAGCTTGGGGGTGAAAGCTCTCTGGAAAACTGAGATTTAAGATTATGGAACATGTTCTGTCCCCCACATCTCACTGCCCCACCAACATTACTCCAGAACATAACAGAGGATTGCAGTAGAGGATGCTTCAAGATGCAGCTTCTCCGAGAAGGTGCACCTTGGGGAGCCCTGAGTCCATAGGCGAGACCAAACGAGGCCACTACGGGAACGTGAGCCCTCTGCATGTACAGCTGTGGTAACATTCGATGCAGCCCAATTCCCACCCAGTTTAACAGAAAGCTTAGTGATAGGCAACATCCAGCTTTCAATTAATTACAAAGCACGTGGACAGAGAAAAAAAGTCAAAGGACTTAGGAGTATTCAGATTCTCTGAGTGCATGTTGCAGGGTTTTTGTTTGTGGTACTGGGGATTTAATCCAAGGCCTGCAGCATGCTAGACTAGTACTTTACCTCTGCACTATATCCCAAGCCCCTTTCAATTTTTTGGAGTCTTGTTAGGTTGTCCAGGCTGTCTTTCAACTCGAGATCCTCAGCCTCTCAAATTCGTTGTTTGTTTGTTTGTTTTGGTCCTGGGGATCGAACTTGGGTCCTTGTGCATGCGAGGCAGGTGGCAGAACCGCTGAGCTAAATTCCAGCCCCTGAATAGTTGGTATGCATCACCATGCACTGCATAAGTTGTTTTTTTTTTTTAAAGAAATTTGTTTCATGTAAGTTTTAAGCATTAAATTGTACATAGTAGTCCCTTTTATTTAATAATACAGGACATATAGCAACATTTTTCTTCTCATTTCTATTAGTACGTTTTTTCTTCCTCTCATTTCTCATTAGTCCTTTCTTTTTTCCTTATCAATCTGACCAGCTTTTATGTTACGGATTTTCTCAAAAAAGCAGCTATTTTCATTTTCTCTATTTACTATTTCTCTGATTTATGTTTTATCATTTCCTTTTTCTGCCAACTTTAGCTTTAGTTTTTTAATTTCTTAAATGGAAGCTCAAATTCATTGATTTTGAACATTTTTTACCTATGTACGCATTCAGTGCTAAACTTTTCCTCTCTATTCCCTCCTCAAGGACTCTGCTTTAGTAACTATTCTCTCTCGGGCACCAATTCTTCCCTACTGAATCATATCCATCATATCGTAACACGTTCCCAAACATGCATTTACAGTCCATGCTACATGGAAAGAAAGAAAGGGAGGGGGGAGGGGGGGACGGACACCCTCCCTTGCCCCACATCCTCCTCTGGCTATTTCTGCATTCCTCTGCAATACCTGTGCTCCAAAGTTAAGACACTCTCTATTTGCTTATCTCCCAATTCCCTGCCATCCACTCCATTTAGGTGTTCACCTTATCTCTACATTCACATTGCTTTTATCAAGGTCACCAGCAAGTTCTGTCTCAACACAGTAATCAATTCTCTTTCTTCTTACTCCTTATTCACAGCATTTCGCTCCTTCACTCCCGGCTCACTGCACTCCTTGTTGTTGTTTTATTCTGCACTGGCCACTCCTTCCCCCTCCAAGCCCTTACATGGAGTGCCCCAGGGCTCAGTTCTCAGGCATCATCTTTTCTTTTTGATCTATATCCATCTCCCAGATGCTTTCATCCACACCTAAAATTTGAAGCATCATCTCATACAACTCAAGCAGGTCTGTTATTCATTATTTACAGTTAATTTTACAGTTGCTTTTAAGTAATACTTGTTATGGTTTAGATCTAAAATATTCTTCAAAAATCTCATGTGCTGAGACTCAGGACCTGGTCAGAGGGAGTGGGTAACTGAGAGTACGACCTGGAAGGGTATATTCTTGTCCTCCCTTCCTTCTCTGCTTCCTGGCTGCCACCAGATGGACAGCTTTCCTCTAGCCCCTCCACCCTGCTATTTCTACCTTGGAGCTAGCTGACCATGAACTGAACCCTCTGAAACCATCTTTTAAGATGTTGGTGTCAGATACTGTGTCTCAGCAAACAGCAAAGCTATTATAATACTTGGGTATTTTAATCTGTGAAGTTAGTTATTTATGTTTCTCAAGGACAAGGATCCCTACCATCCTGTTCTTTTCCATCTTTCTAAGTGTTCTGCTCATGGTAAGCCGAATGTAAGCACTATAAATTCCATCTTTGGTTCTGCACGTGTAGTTTTACTACCAAGTAAAAGCAGGATTTACAGTGGTGCACCCTTAAGCAACAAGTACCAACTACAGATAATTGAGCCTTATAGCCCCTGCCTGGGGATCATACTTATTATGGTCATCTTTAGAATATGTCAAATCCCCGGTTCTTCTACTTAAACTGGGACCATAACCAACTGAGTGGTTCTTAGTTCTGCACTTTCAGTGAGGTAAAATATATACTTCTTTCAAGTGGAGGTTTCTTACATGTTGAGGCTGATCACAGGGCAATCTCCACGCCAACTAAATGTCAAGTGAATAGCAATTAAATGACAGCTACAGTTTCAATGTGGAAGGGACAATGAAACTACATAAATCTTGGCTGACACTTGAGGAATGTGTGTGTGCCTCTTCTTGGGCTTGTAAGTGAGAAGCACAGAGCCTTTAGACCCTGGACTGGTATCATCCAGTAATATAGCAACAGGAACCTAGCACAGCCTCATTTCAAACTGCAGTAACCTGCCAACACACGGGCTTGAGTGACAGGTCATCACAAGTCCGCACATATCCAGTCTCATGGCCAAGGCCAAACTTGACCTTAGTTGCATGGTCTCCTCATAAAGAGGAAGAAAAACACAAGGACTCTACAGGCTGGAAGGTAAGCTGACTCTATCTCCAGTCACTGTTGTGATGTTTTATAAATTCACTGTTTTACCATTACTCAGAAGGTTTTTCAAAGTGAGGTTTTAGGATTTTGGAGGAATTTTCTCTGCTTGGTTTAAAAATCTCAAAAAGGGCCAAGGATTTAGCTCAGTGGTTCCACCGCCTGCTTCAAAAGCAGAAGGACTCCAGTTCGAACCCTGGGAATCCCGCCCCCCCCAAAGAAATCTCAAAGAATTTCATTGTACCAAACTGTTTCTGAACACACAGACATGAAATAGGCTTTATGAATTTTAAAGTAGGAAACAATTTCTCTTTGAAAAATGCCTCTGAGCTGTGAGTCATAACAGAATGTACAGGCAAGTTTTAAAAGAGACAAAAATTGTCGCAACAAGTACTGAAGGATACACATGGGAAATGAATAGTGTCAAACGATCTTTTTATTGCTCACTGAAAAATACAGGTCTGGAAGAAGCCCATTGTACTGTGTGTTAGATGTGATATGTGACACCGCAAGGATATAGGGCATAATGGCACAACATATACAATTTTGCATGTTTTACATACAGACATCTCTCTTAAACACTATACTTTACTAAGATAAAGCCCCTTATTAAATGAGAAATATAAATATCAGAATTATAAATAAAATGCTATAAGCAAAGCATTTTTAAAAAGTCTGGCGTGACATCTACCTTGTCTACCTGCAGCAGTTCAGAATAGCGGGGCCTGGAAGAAACTTAGCTAATGAAGAGCCAGTTCTCAAAGAGCTCTTTTCAGGAAGCTGGTCGGTGATGCCCCCACAGGCTCCCTGAAACCCAGCAGGTGGCCCATGCTGACTGAAGTGACTGGGAACAGTATCAGGGGCAGAAGCTTCTGCCACAACTACTTATGTTGCATCCACTGTATGGATACATCACCTAGCACTTCTGGTGCAGAATCTGCCATGCTCAGCACACACTGAAATGTACTTGAAAAGAGGACAAACACTGGGAACAAATGCCATTTTCTACATAGTCTTCAGATATCATTACTTTCTTTCAGCCATGTTTTTATCAATATGCTCTAAAAGAGGCTGTTGCCACCACACTGTCAGTTAGACAGTCCAGGATTGAGGTAACAAGACATTTCCAGTTATGATGAGTAATTCAATGAATTAAATATAAATACATCTTATATTAGAGAGCAACACAATTATTATTCACACGGCATCATATCCAAGCACTGCAACAACAGTCACAACTCTAAGGTCAACCTTCAACTATGTCCACATTTCCTTCCAAACTGAGAAAATCCAGTGAGGAGAACATACCTATCCTCCTACTTATCCTCTCTATTAGGGCTCAGAGAAAAGCTCCCTACAGATAACAAATGCAAAAAATCCCCAATAAAACAAAATAAAACAACATAACAAAACACACAGCACTTCAATATAAATATAATGACAAAAGAAAATTATACCTTCCTTTTAGGCTTTCTCTGCAGAAGGCAAAGCAAGTTATTTGCAAAGTTGGCTGGGCCAACTATGGTGATACATTCTAAGAGAAATTAGGGTTACAGCATTCTCTTACTATAGGTAACTAGTATTATTAAACAATTTCCTGAACTAAGATAACAGTCTCACCAAGGAAAATTTCCTTCTCATCTGGGGTTTGATTAAATGAGATTATATACTATGCCAGCTATTTAATGTTAAGCTATTAGTATACAGGGAACTTGCTCAGAGTTCAAGTGTAACTGAGTTTTCAGATTTTCTATACAGATTGGCAAATATTTTGTCAGAGTATCTACTTGAGAGATTTATAAATCAATATAATAACCAACTATATGTTTTTCTTACTCTATTCACCCAAGAATATCATGTTCTGCTAAGACTGAATCCCACTTCTATGGGCCTCTTATCTCTCTTGACTCTGCACACGAAGTTTCTCTGTTCAGTCTTTATGTCCTTGACTCTTCTAGTCCAAGGAAAATCTTGCATAAAGCTGGAAAACTACAAGCTCCAGTAGAAGTGCTGGTATTAGTGCTGAAGTAATCTTTATGGGAATTACAACTGCTTATCAGACTATTTACAGCTTTGTTAAAAGACCTACTCCTCTTGAATCTCTGGATTGAGATATCCTAATATTTCAAACATAAGGAGGTTTTATTAATAAAAATCTAGTTCACATGCAAGGTTCTGACCTCTGCAGTGACACACGGTTAGCTCAAAACTGGCTGCACTTCTGTTTCAAATATCCCCATCCTTCCTCCCTGTCATAGTCTTGTCAAACTCATCCACCTCTCACGCTATTTCTGAGCACTCACTGCTGGCTCTATTTCTTTTTGGTGTTCTACTACACATATGGGTATCACCTTAATGTATAGATGATAATGTCAATTTCACACTACCAGCTCCCCAAAGACATTACCTGGGAACAATTTCCAGTTAATAAACTCATTCATTAGCAAATCCTCTTTATAAAGGAAACAAAAATGATTTTCTAGAAGCTGAACAAACACCTTGAATATTTTTATAAAGGGAATGTTGAATGAATACTACCAAAACCCAGATATACCTACTACCAGTAGATCTAAAGATTATTAAGGGTTAGGTGACAGCATGATGCAATACCATTCGGGTGAAAGTGCTACTCAACAACATAGGAGCAAATGAAAAGGGTCTGAACATCACCCTCTGGTGTGTTTTCCTCATGCTTAGAGTGAAGCCTGAACCAGGGCACATGTCTCAGCTCCCTAACAAGCTGCTCACAGGTAAAACAATGGGCTTCACCTCACCCAGCCCAGCACCTAGTGCTCAGATGGGAAGCACTGTAGCTTTAAGATGAAGAAAGACTCAAGACTTTGCACAACAATTCTTGATTTTATACTTTCCCAAGAAAGTCAAAAAATAAACTGAATTTATACTAAAAAAATAATGTAACGCCTCAAAAAGCAAAACCTAAGATGGAAGAACTTTGGAAAATATAACTTATGAATCAAATCTTACTTTGGCTAAATTATCATATAAGTCAGTGTAATTTATTATTGCATTGAGAAGCACAACCCACCATGTTTCTCTGAAATGGTCCTAGTGAAGTCCATGGAAACAGTCCACAGAGGTGACAGCTCTTTAGGCTTCTGTGGCCTCAGAATATAAAGACAAGGGCTAACTAGGATGTGACATTGAGACGTTTACCTGCTTAGCACAAGTTGAGTTAGGAGCCAAACACCAGACTCTCATCCACTTAAGAGTGTTCTCAGAAAGTTCCCATTTTTACTCCAGTGGCTCCACATCGCAATCACCTTGAAACTTTCAAAAATTACCCAATGTTCAGGCTAGTTATGGAGTGAGGAGCCCAGAAAAAGAATTCTTTTTGGAACCCCAGGTGACTCTCATGTGCAACCAAGATGCCGACTACTAGATGCATCCCTTTCAGAGACCTGTTGCTTAAAATCCATGTAAATGAAATTCCTATGTAGTTTTGCTTTTCTAAATTCCACCAGAAAAGAAAGGAGATTTTTGTTTTTTGTTTTAGAAAAAGGCACAGTTGTGCTTCCTCTAAAGATGCAGCCTGTTGTTTGGGAGGTGCTGATTGTTGGAGGTTATCTGGAGCGCTGGTTGTAAAGAAGAAAATCCTTGTCTTGGCAGAGCAGACATAGTTTCAGGCTTCGGCAGCTGCCTCCAGCAACAAAAAATGCCCAGATGCCCATGACCACCATGATTATATATGCTGACACCAGATTTATTCCATAATGAGGATTTAGGAAGGTCTGCAAAGGAAAAATAAATCAGCTTGGGTAATAACACAAGCTTAGTAAACATGCAGAATAACTAAAGACAGAGAAAAATATGAAATATTTTCCATAGCTGGACTGTAACCAAACATATGATGCATGCAATGCAGTAAGGATCCACAAAGGCATGTCGAACGAACCTTGCCAAAAGACACTGGTCTGTAGGTCTGATGTTTTGCTGGATTCAAATGACAAATCTAAAAGATAATCATTAACTAGAACCTAATGCAATGCTTAACAGAAGACATGTACAAACTGGCTCTGGTTTATATTCATGTCTGTACCAACTAAACTGGCTTTTGGAATCTGTAAGAAAATGAGACAAGTCCAGATTCATTTAGTGTTATGAATCCCTAGTCTTCAAAGGAATGTGAGGGAATAGAGTCTCTTCTTTAATCTGTGCAATTGTTAGGGATTCCAAAAGCATATTCATTTTTTTAAAAAACACCACTAAGTGGTGTAGCTTAGTGACAGAGTACATGCATAACATGTGCAAGGCTCTAGGTTTGGTTCCCAGCAGCAAAACAAACAAAAATACTGCTAGGGTGCCAAATGGTACCATCTCATGTATTAGAGAAGACAACAGTCTCTACCCTAATATATGCTTACAAGGGAAGGGAGATGATGAAGAAATTATTTTACATTGTAAGGGATGCTAGGACAGAAAAATGATAACTGTGATGATGCCAGGACATAGAAGAATAAAGTAATCGATTTAGATGCTCAAGGAAGGCCCAAGAAAGTGGCATTTAAACTGAGACATACAGGAGGAGTAGGGAGTTAATTATGGGTAGGCCAACGGAAGGAACCAGATGTAGGAGCAAAGAGGTGGATAAAGACCCAGTATTCATGATATTTAAGAAGGAGGGAGCAGCCCAGCATGGTGGCGCATGCCTGTAATCCCAGCACTTGGGAGGCTGAGTCAGGAGGATCGCTGTGAGTTAGAGACCAGCCTGGGCTACACAGTGAGTTCCAGGTCAGTCTCAACTACACAGTGAGACACTGTCTCAAAAAAACAAAACAAAACAAAACAAGAATGGAGGGAGCAGCAGAGGAAATGAGGCCAGAGGGGAAGGCAGGGCCAACTAATGAGACACTGTCAAAAAAACAAAACAAAACAAAACAAGAATGGAGGGAGCAGCAGAGGAAATGAGGCCAGAGGGGAAGGCAGGGCCAACTATGGTGGGTGTTACTAAGGAGCATGGATTTTTATCCTTAGTGCAATGGAGAGTCACAGAAGGGTTTTAGGTTGGAGACTCGAATGTCTTTAGATTTTTAAAACTGCAGAGAATGGATGAAAGGAAGGTATAATGAACTAGGGAGACTGGTTAGGAAGATACTGCGCTGGATGAGGAGCATACAGAATGGTGACTAGGACCAGGCAGTGGTGGTGGTAACTTGAATTAGGCTGATGGATGGCGTGTGAAGGACAGGAAACATCTGAGATTGATGCTGATAATTCTGGCTTTCATAAATAGTGGTAACATTTAAAGAGATGACCAAGACTTAAGGAAGACTGAGCTTAACAGAGCTGGGGAAAGAAAGCTTGGAATGATAATTTAGTCCAGAAGGTACTAAATTTAGTCCAGAAGGTACCATGCTGTGGGAGTTCAAAAGGCAGATGTCACATAAATAACTATATATCAGCACAGGACTCACAGGAGAGGCCTGGGCCAGAAAAAGGAGTGCAGAAGCATAGCGTACAGGCAGAACCCAGAGCCATGCCCAGGAAGGTGATTACCTAGGGAGCTATTATAGAAAGATGAGAAAAGAGAATTCAAGACCAAATCCTGAGACATTTTAACATTTATAAATTACTTGGAAGAGTAACAGCCAGCAAAAGTGTCTGAGAAGGCGCAGTGAAGCAAAAGAAAACCTAGGCAGCATCAAAAGAGGGAAAGGAGTGGGGAGTCATCTCTTCTTAAAGGCTGCTCAGATATCCATTAGATTGGGACAAATGGAGGTCCTTTTGGACCTTGAAAAGTCAGGTTTTAGGTTGGATGAGCAGGAGCCATCCTGGGCTGGAAGTCTGAAGGATCAGGAAGTAGAGACTCTATGGAAATTACTCTGGGAAGTTTTGCTGTGATAAGAAACCAAGAGTGGCAGGAAAGGGGAAAGGCAGCAAGTAGCAGAGCTTTATTTAAGATACACCTGTGTGCTGCCGAAGAGGTGTAGTCCAGGGGGCACAACTACATGAGGGAGGTCTTCAAGTAAGGAAGAGGGACTAGGGCTAGAGTCTGAGGAGGGACTGGCCATTGACAGGAGGGAGATACTTCCTCTCCTGAACCAGGAGGCAGGGAACATAGCCCATCTAGCCCTACCATATACATGCAACAAAGAGGAAGGTCTGATTGGGTCAGTTGTTACCATGTATCTTTAAAACAAGTGTTTTAAAGTGTCCCCAAGGCGTCTCCCTGTCCTCACCTTCACTCTACATATATATGCCCCTGGCTAAGGCACTGATGCTGACCCATTAGCTCTGGCCAAGAGCTGATTCTGCAGGTAGCACTTTATGTAGAAAGAATGCTTTTCTCAAGAGGCATCTGTGGGCATGGCAGGCACTGAGCATTTCTTGAGGGTAGTTTTGTTTTGTTTTGTTTTGTTTTGAGACAGGGTCTTGCTATGCAGTTCAGGCTGGCCTCAAACTCATACTGATGATCCTCCTGCTTCAGTCTCTCAAGCGCTGGGATTACAGGCATGAGCCACCATGCCCAGCCTCCTGGATTCTTTTTTGGAATAATTTTATATTCAAGTCTACTACATTTTAATTGACACTGCAGAATGCTAAACTGTTTCACATTATTTATTTTCTTAAAACATTTTTATCTTTTCAACAGTTATAAAAATACATGATTGTTCTAGAACATCAGAATACACAAATTTAAAAAATTTAAAAGCTGAAATTCAGCTAGGCTAATATTAAATGAAAACAATGATCAATTAGACTATTAAGATGAAAAATTTTTATTCATCAAAATACTGCAAAATTAAAAGAAAGTAAAAACAAAAGTTTTTGTCATACATACACCTGACAAAGGATTGTGTTGTAGAAAATACAAAGAACTCCTAAGACTAAAACAGAAAAAAACAACCTAGAAGGTAATCAAAAGATCTGAATAGGCACTTCCCAAATGGCCAGTGAATATAAGAAGATATGCTGAACCTTGCTAATCAGCAGGAAAATACAAATTAAAAGTTTAACATAATTTAACTACATTTCCAGCAAGATAAAAAAGGACACCGAGTATTGGTGAGGAGACGGACAATGGCAGCTCATATATGGTGAGAATATAAGTTCATATAACTACCCTGAAAAAAGTGATGGGTATTAACAGCCAACACCTGTACAGCCCAGGCCCCAGCAAGTCTACTCTTAGGCATATATCAAACAGAAATATGTACACATGTTCACCAAGAAACACATGCTCAAATGTCCATAGCAATATTCTTCATAGGTGAAAATTGGAAACATCATAAATAGTTCTCTGCTACATTATACACACAGAATGCTGTACTGCAGTGAATGAGCAATCTGTAGTTAGAAAATGATGACTCTCCCAAACATAATGCTGACCCAAAGACGCCAAATACAAGAACAAAGATTGTATGGTTCCTTTTACATGAAATACCGAAAGGCAAAGCCTAGATGTAGTGCTATGAGTCATTATCGTATGAACCCTTAGAGGAAGGTAAAAAGAGGCTCCTGAAGGTCCGTGACATTTAAATTTTCATCTAGGTGCTAGTTACACAGGTGTGTTCACTGCGAAAATTCACCAAGATATACACTTATTTGTGTACTGTTTGTATATAAATTTAAATAACACAACTGCTCAAATACTCATTCTCTGAGATCTGCCACTGACAGATATCTATTGATAACCTTCTGAGAAACAGTGCTGGGGATGCAGCTCAGTGAAGCTGCACCTGCCTGGCAAATGCAAGGTCCTGGGTTCAATTCCTGATACTAGAAAAAAATTTTTTTCGAGAAATAATCTTTCAAACTTCCTGTTTTTTTAAGTCAATAAACAGAATAAAAGCAACCATTTGATACTCAGTCAACATTAGTCTACTATGTGCCAAGGATTGAGGACAAAAGACTGACAAAATAAGATTCCATCCTTGATGATCAAATTGTAGTTGAAGAAAGAGATGAAAAAACTGTATTAAAATAATGCCAGCCAAGAACAGTGTTATGATAGAGCAATGAAAATAGTTTCATGATAGTGCTGAGCCTGGAACATGCAACTTTTCCAGCAATCTTCATAAAGAATGAACAGTTTCTGAAACCGCTCCGGGTTAGAAGACTCGTTATTGTCCATAATCAGCAGGGACAGACATACCAGTTATGTAATGCACTGCATCAGTTTAGACAGAATATATCTGAGTTGTGGAGAGGAGCTGGAGGTAAGTTTTGCACCAGCAAGACTGACAGGAGGCTTGGCAGAGAAGCCCAAGTGTAATCATGGGTTTCGGACTCTCAGCTCTCTGGGGTCTCCAGGATGCTTCCCTACCTCTCTACCTTCTTTGCCAACTCCTCTGCTTTTCCTCAATCTCAATGCTGGAGTGCAAGCATCTTCTCTTATCTGTTTACACCAATTCCTCGTAATCATCTTTTTTACCCTAAATGTCTCTCCCAAACTCTACACTTTTCATCTATCTGCTTACCTGACATCTGCACTTGGTTGTCCAATAGGTACCTGCGAAGCAATGGGCCCCAAACAGCTTCCCCTCTCAGAAGATGGCCAACTCCCTCCTTTCAACTGTTGGGGCCCAAATCCTGGAGATATCCTGACTCCTTTTCTTCCTCTCACATGCTTTATCCACTTCATCAGGAAAAACTGTTGGCTCCACTTTTGAAAATACATCCTGAATCTGATCATTTCTCTTTTTTGCACTGCTCTGTCATCCAAGTCCTCACTGCCCCTCCTTTCTCTAGTCTACTCTCAACATGGCAAAATGATCCTTACAGGGTGAGTCAGATCATGTCTTTTTTCAACACTCAACAATTCATTTCAATGAGAGTAAAGGTTCGAGTCTTACATTATGTAAATCTCACTTCTAACCTCCTATTTCCCTTCCACCATCAACTCTCTTGACAGTGTCTCCTCCTATTCTCCCCCTTGCTCACTCTGCTCTGGCCACCTGGCTTCAACAAACATGCCATCACATGGCTGTTCAGCCCAGATGTTCTCTCTCCAGATGCCACTTCTCCAACCCCCTCCCTCAATTTGACTTTTTTGCTCACATGTCACTGTCACAATAAAGCCTACCCTTACCACCTAAGAAATGTGAACACACATGACCATACACACAATCCCTTAGCTTTAAAAATTACACTTTTCCTTTTTCTATAGCACCGATCACCTTCTAACATACTGTATAATTCATTTATTATGTAGATTGTTTTTTGCTTGTTTCTTCCCACTAGATTATAAAGGGGGATATTTTTGGGGGTTTTTTTTTGTTTTGTTTTGGTTTGGTTTTTTTTTTTTTTTTTTTGCATTGGGGATCAAACTCGGGACCTTGGGCTTTTGATCTTTGTTTTGTTTACCCAGAACAGTGCCTGCAATGTGGAAGACACTTAACGTGTTTGTTAAATGAACAAATAAGCCAATTAGATTCATAAGAAGATTTGCTTTATCTTGCAACTTCCTTTCAAAGTATAAGAGTACTATGTTGTAGAAAATTTGGAAAATGATAATAACTACAAACAATGAAAGAATTGACAATCCCAACACTCAGAGATAAATGCTGTTAATATCTAAGGTACACTCCTTCCTGTCTTTCCACGAAGATTTGGCTTTATATAGTTGCTGTCACATGCTAAAAGGTTTTAGGTGTATGAGGGGAAGTAAGATGTTATTTTAGAGGGAGTAGAGGGGCAAGGAGCCCAATTTAAGAAAACCTGATAAGGGTAAACAGATGGAGAAAAGAGAAGCAGGAGGCAGGTGTCATCAGGAAGAACCTTTATAACACTTAAGGCAACAAGTGAAAAAGCTCTAGAGAAGGAAGTGGCAGAGGTCACTCTGATATAAATGATTCTGATGTAACTATATGATTAATTTTCAATAAAAGTCAAACCCAATACATTACATAGTACTTTAAAAATAAATCAAGGGAAGGTAGGGATAAGGGGTAAAAATGAGAACCAAGACCTGTCATGTAAAGGTACAAGATCCCAATGATGAATGCAATTGTACTGTATACCTAAAATGTACCAATAAACTCAATGAGAAAATAAATAAAGTATTTTTAAGCTTGTTTTGAAAACTGGCATTATAATTAACATGTGAATGAGGAAGAAGTGATGTTGGCACTTCTGTTATTGATAAAAATGTGTAAAAATGGTATAACACTTATGGGGTGTACTTTTGCAATCTCGATCAAGTACTTTAAAAATATTCATGGCATTTGATTTCATAACTCCACACCCTTGAACCTAAACAATATATGGAAAAAGCTTCATGCATTGAGATGGTCACGACAGCTTTATAAAAACCAAAAAAACAGAAGTGAATAATCAGTTATTATTATTATTTTTATTATTTGGTATCGGGGATCAAAGTTAGGACCTTGCACTTGCGAGGCAGGTGGCGGCCCCACTGAACTAAATCCCTGGCCCAACCAGTTAAATTATTAAAGACAGCTTCCCAATAACCGTCCCCCCAAAAAAAACCAAACAAACCAGAAGGGATTAACCAGTAATTAAAACATTGTAATAATTTCTATGTGATGATATAAGGATATCAAAATTTTTTATGTTAAGGGATTTATAATGACATAGAAATTGCTCCAGATGTGCTTCCAAACATAAGCACAATTTTTTCAAGTTTAACTGTATCTCTTAAAGGAAATACACATGGAAAAAAAATATTTAATGAGACCCACAAAAATTTGTGGTTGTCCTTTTATAATAAAACTTCAATAACTAATTCATTCACTTAATGACTTTTCTCACTTTCCTGCTTGACTGACTGATTTGCTGATTTTCAGTACTAGGGATCAAACTCAGGACCTTGTGTTTGCAAGGCAAACACTGAGCCACTGAGCTAAAACCCCAGCCCACTTTCCTGATTTTCCATGTGCTCCATTTGCAATGGAAGATACCATCTGAGACACAGACTTGAGTTCCAAAACTCAGTGTGAGTATAGCAGCAACACTCACCTGGGCAGACACCAGCAGATGGGTTAGGAGAACAATGAGGAGGACATACCACTTCTTCTTCTCACAGGCATCAAAAAATACTATGCCCCAGAACACGTGCAGCAGTATGACAACCAGCGTCATGAAAGCTGAAAGACAGTCAACCATTAGTGTCCAGTCCTACACGTAACAGTCACCAAAGCCTACTCAACACCCTGTCACTATCTGAGGGCCCTTGGGCTCCCCCTACTGCACTGAGTCTGACCACATGTGACAGAAACAGGACCTTGACAAATGCACTAATAGTAACCTGTGAAGCAGTGCTTCTGAGGGATAGGTCAGCCTCTGCAGCAGCTTTTCCCCTAGAATATGAACCTGTTCAACAAAAAAAATCAACTTGGACCTGACTTTCAAGTGGTTTCCCTGACAAATACAACAAGATTACTGTGAAATCTAACCAGCTTTTCCCCAATTAGCCTTTGGCCCTATTTGAGAAAGACTTCCAACTAAGAAGATATCTTATGTTGAAACAAGTCTCTTTATGAAAGTGGCATTTTTCTTTGGAACATTTTTTTAAAGACCAAAGGAAGAATAAAACAATATTAAAAATCATTATAATTATGTAAAATTCTTAAGCAACTGGCACTGAATTTGATCAATGCCTATAGGTTTTAATGTGTAATTGTGTGTGTGTGTGTGTGTGTGTGTGTGTGTATGTGTGTGTGTGTGTGTGTATGCATCTGTATCCTGGATAACATTCTTTAAATGGGCAAGTTCCATAAACTTTACAAGTTTTAATATGAGAAAAAAAAGTATTTAGTATTACTTTCCAACCATATAATGAGATCATTAACACCCATGAAACAGGAAAAATCTAAGTCTGGCAGTTCTCTGGCAGGAAAAGAATCTAGCCTTACCAATAAAGTAAAATTTTTGCACTCTCTATTCCACTCTAACAATTCCAAGCTAGACCTATACTCTGAAATAGTTGGTTCTCAAATCAAAAGTTGATCAGAGCCCAAGAGTGTGAAAGAAATACAAATCACTGGGACTCATTTGACACCTGAATCAGAAAAACTATTGGTGGGACCTAGAAATCCCAGTTTAAATAGCCTTCCAGGAGACTGTGGTGCATGGTCCAGAAGCACTGCCTCTAGAGAAAATCTTAGAAATGTGTACAAGGAGATGTATACCAGAATATTTATATCAGCACTCTGTATAACTAAAAAATGTCCATTATTGCCAGAATGGAAAAATAAAACATGGTATATTCATGCCATGAACTACTACAGATGACCCACACTATAAATGATCTGCACAATCTAATACTGAATGAAAAAAAAAAAAAAAAGTACTGCAGGGCCAGGGATTCAGCTCAGTGGTTCCACTGCCTGCCTTGCAAGAGCAGGGACCAGAATTTGATCCCTGGTACTTAAAATTTAACAGAGAAGCAAATGAACAGCTTTTAAAACCTTCAGGCCAAGGCATACTAAACAAAAGGGTGTATTTTAGTCCCACTGATGATTCTGGAAAGGAAAGGTCCCCCTGGAGATACATTCCTGGTAGTGGTGTGGAGTTGAGACCAATGAAGATGCCCAGGAATTGAGGGTCTTGAATCTTCTCTACATCAGAAAAGACCAAGGCAGAAACTGGTACAAAAGCAAAAACTTATTTAATCATTAAATGTTCATACCTTATAGGAACTTAGGTTTTTTAAGTCCTAGATCCAACTAAATGTGAAGGGACAGCAAGGCCACAATAATGGGTCATCTGCTTGGCAGCCTACATTTGCCCTTCTCTCTATGCATTATCATGACTATTGAGGGGAACCAAGGACGCCACTGTGGTCAAATCCTAGAGACCAGCTAGTTGGGAAATACTCTTACTGGTGAGATGTTCAGTCTGTTCTTGTCCAAAAAAGCATTATTCTGCAAACTTCAGGCAAGCATTCTCAAGACATCACTGGCCCTGACTTACTTCCAAATGCAAAGTTAGTATTTCTTAGTCCTTCCTAAGAAGGCTTTGACAGAATGACTTTGCTCCAAAATTAAGTCAAGACATCTCAGACTAGCATTTAAAGCCTTATACAATCTAGAGCAAATTAACTTGACACTCTCTTCTGCTAATCTTCAAGTACATCCTTTATGGCCAAAACCCAGAACTCTTAGCCATTCTCATCCATCTTCCCTCCCTCCCTCCTTCTCCCTGTCCTGTTGTACATGTCATTACTTTTGCCTCAACATTCTACCCCTCCTATCTACCCTTCCTCATTTCACCTATCCAAATCTTTTTTTTTTTTTTAATTGGGATAAAACCCAGGGCCTCAAGTATGCTACATAAATGCTCTACAACTAAATTAAGCCCAACCTTTCTAAAATTTCAGACAGGGTATTACTAAGTTGCCCATCTAGCTTAAATGTCACCTCCTCAGTAGACTGTCCTCACAGGTACCCTTCTCTATTTTTGTGTATATTCAACACACAATTACTGACCACCTAGCCAGTGATGGCAAACCTATGGCACGTGTGCTGCAGCTGGGTGTTTGAAAGCTCTAAAAAGCTTGCCATCACTAACCCAGACAATCTGGTCTCAGTATTATACGTATGTATCTTTGGAGTCAGACCATCCTGAGTCAGAACTCCCACCTCCACTGGGTAGCTCTGGATAAGCTATGTGCCCTCTCTGAGCTTCTATTTCCTTTATTTCTAAAACGGGGTAATACCTCATCGGATTGTTGCAAGGAAGAACAGTGCTTGGCACACTATAGCTTTACCATAAATGGCCACCACATTCTGTGTTCTAGAGATTCAAAGATGAAAGGGAAGAACCCTTAGCAAGCTGTACTCTCAGGTAGTAAAGCAAAGCAAAGCAGCAAGCAATTTACACTTTCATCTAAGTTTCCTGGGTACTAGAGTATTAATTAAAAATACATTCTTCTAGCCAGGCGCGGTGGCACAGGCCTGTAATCCCAGCACTCGGGAGGCTAAGGCAGGAGGATCGCTGTGAGTTCGAGACCAGCCTGGGCTACAAAGTGAGTTCTTGGTCAGTCTCAACTACATAGTGAGACCTTGTCTCAAAAACAAACAAACAAACAAACAAAAAAACCATTCTTCACAGTTGTAAGTGATTTCTTCCTTTTTACTACTCTTACATTTATTCTCCTCCTTTCCTCCTTCATTATCTACAAAACAAGTACATTTATTCAGGACACAATATGGGACAGGTAGTTCTAGGCACTGGGGCTAATGGCAATGCACAAAACACAGTCTTACAGAACTTTTCCTCACTTTGCAAATTACCACTTTACTAATACATTATCTAAAAGAAGTCTCTCAAACACTTACTAAAATATTGTACATTCCTATTTTACTCTTATTTATACTGCTAGAACTAGTTTCTGGTTGACTTAGGGGATCAACATGAGCCCTTACAAGGTGCTATGGCAGAAAACTGAAATATATTGTTTATCCCCTCTACAATGGATCAGAGTTCCAAGAAGATTGAGACCTGGGCATCTGAACTATTCTGCCACATATGAGTAGCTATAGCTACATGCATGCCTTTTTGATACTTAATAGCAAATGGAATTCCAACTAGAAATGAAGGTTTCCTAATAGCATCCATAGGGCACTACTTTTTAATTAATAAACCTTTCTCAATTCATGTTCCTACATATAAAATCCTAAAGTTATTCAATGACTCTAAAATTTACTTTGTTCTAATAATTTTCTTAGAGGAAAAAAACTTCTGTAAGTTAACTGTAAGAATATCAAAATTAGTTCATAACCCAGATTAATAAAAGGAGCTTCTGCAATTTTCAATGTTCTGGAATATTCAAAAAGCTAAACAATTCTAACAAGTATTGTACATCTTTCTATGACAACTACAGCAGTCTGGTTTGACAATGGATTTCCTCTTTTGATAATCTTCTAAGTCAAATTCTCTTGGCAGACAATGTTTCACTCTAATGTACATTTAAGCAAAATGTTTTTTGTTACCTTTAAGAGGTAACACGTGTCCTTTTCTCTCTCACTCCTGGCATCTAGTTTTCTGTCCTTATGAAAACAAGGTTGGAAGGCAACAATTAGTGCTAATACTGGATTCCTCAGACAGCAGAAAATTGCTGTCACCTGCCCCATCACCACTACCATACCAGGGTATCTCTAAGTAATGGGGCTACCACTGCCCAGCAGCAACAGCCAAAATTTGGCCTTAGCTTCCTAGAGATAGGCTGTGGACACCAATGAGCTTTTAGATTCTTTTTCTAAACAAGAGAAAGGTTCCATGAAGAGAGAGAATCCCATTCCTCCAAGTCACAGAAACTTTCTGGATTGAGATATATCCAATCACCTAGAACAAAGAGAAATCAGGGCCCAGAACTAAATTGATGTTTTTTAAAATGTTCGAAAATTCATGTTTTGAAAATGCAAATTAATGTTTTTGAAAATGCTTTGAATAGGTCGCAGGATAGTTCTCTCTCAGATATTTAACCTAAAATTATCCCCTCAAACAATACAAATTCTATCATCTCATTTACTGTTAGATGTGTACGTGCCTAGCTACTACAAAATAACTAACTAACGCTCCCGGTAACAAAAAATATGTTTTAAGGGCTAGGTATGTAGCTCACTGGCAGACACTTGCCCAGCATGCACAAGGCTGTGGGTTCAATTCCCAGCACTGAAAAACAAACAAACAACAACAACAAAGAAAGAAAGAAATAAAGAGAACCAGGGATTTAGCTCAGTGGTTCTGCTGTCTGTCTTGCAAGTAAGTGCAAGGACCCAAGTTTGATCCTCGGTACAAATAAAAAAAAAGAAAGAAAGACCATCTTACACGGAATATGGGTAATAGGAAAAGTATGGCACGATCTCTTAATACCAATGTCAGAAAGGAGATATTCCAAAACCAATTTAAATGAATGCAGGTGTTTCAATAGAATTTACCGTTTCTATTTATCAGTGTTTTTAACACCTGTTTATGAGCTGAATGGACTGCCAATAATACAATTCTATGTTTAAAGTCCTCCCAGGAAATGCCAAGAAGGATGAGGCACACTACTCAACTCAGTGTGGAGAGAGTCAGCACTGGAGGTCTGTTAGAAGCTCTGTGTTCCAGGCCTCTCGATAATGAAAACAAATCCATCCCA